TTTCCTTTGTAGACTGTGTGTGATTTGGTGTTATGGATTCTGCCATGGTCATACCTGTGCCTCTAACAACTAATATGTTGGGGCTTAAAAGATCTTTATTGAATTATAAGAATCAGACACATACATTGGCCATATTTCTATTGACGATGAAGTTAGCAATATAAATTCTCCTGTTAGAATTGTTTTCCTCTCCTATACTACCATATCTTTTATCAATGCCTCTCTTGTATCACTTATTATTCTTCCACTAGATTGTGAACTTAAATTTTTTTTTGAAATATTTTAAGCACCTAGAAAAGTACTGTATAGGGAATAATTAAAAAAAACCTCCCAGGTACTCTCATTTTTGTCAAATCTTAGCATTTTTGCTTTGTTTGTTTCAGATGTTTTTAAAAAGTAAATGTAACATGTGTTTATACAGTGGAAGCCTCCTGGCACCCTTACCCAATGCCATTCCCTTCCTCCCTTTTGAAGGCAATCACTCTCCTATTTTTGGCGTTTATCATTTATTTGCATATTTTTATACCATGTATGTATGAATTCATAAACAATTCATGGTATCGTTTTACATATTTTAAAACTTTATACAAATAATATAATGCTGCAGATATTCTGCAATTTGATTTTTGTTTTGGCTCAACATTATATTTTTAGATTTATCCATGTTGATACTTGTAACTATAATTTTTTTTAAATTTCAAGTTCCGGGGTATATATGCAGGATGTGCAAGTTTGTTACATAGGTAAATGCGTGCATGGTGGTTTGCTTCACCTATCAATCGATCACCTAGGTATTAAGCCCAGCATGCATTACCTATTTTTCCTGATGTTCTTCCTCCTCCTATCCCCCACCAACAGGCCCCTGTGTGTGTTGTTCCCCTCCCTGTGTCCATGTGTTCACATTGACTTGTAACTATAATTTAATGAGTAAGTTACAGCATGTATGCATGCATGAATATTCAACTAGATGTAGTCTGACTCTGTAAGCAGAGAACATGTTATGTAATGCAGTCAGGATTCTTATAATTTCCCTGTCATAATACATGATATTCCCTTTTTTTGGCTACTATGCAGAAGACCATGCCACAATACAGTAGAGATGTCCCTGAAGTGACGATTCTCTAAGAATCAGGGCTGGAAAACATTTTTAATAAGCTATAGAGATGGACCAAATCTATGAATTTGAAATGTAACACAGACAAACGTAAAACATGGCATTTGGGTACAAAAAAAGTTCAGTGGTACAAATATAGGATGGGGGAGATGTGGCTTAGAAGCAGAACATGGGCCAGCCTCAGTGGCTTATGCCTGGAATCTCAGCACTTTGGGAGACTGAGGCAGGAGGCTTGTTTGAGGCCAGAAATTCGAGCCTGCAGTGAGCCATGATTGCGTCATTGCAATCCAGCCTGGGTGACAGAGTGACACTCTGTCTCTAAAATAAAATAAAATAAAAAAGAAGCAGAACATGAACAGAAAGTGGACAAGTTGGCAAGGCTGGGAAAGGAAGCACCCGTGGAGAGCCACTGGGATGGCGTCTCTAGAACCAAGATGTTGGGCTGTAGAGTGAGCTCCTCCAGGCCGCTTGGACTACATCTGGGAGAGAGCCTTCAGTTTCTGAGTGTGGAGCTTGTTCAGAGGAAAGTAATGAGAATGGTAGAAGAAAAAGGTAATAGTTCACTTCAAGAAGGGAGGTTGAGGCCAGCAGGATTGTGATGGTTGATTTCTGTGACTGGAAGGGAATTCTCTGTGGCCCCAAGAGATATTGGACCAATCTTGCTCCTCTTCCTGAATTCCTTCCTCAGCAGCACACCCACTCTGTCCCACAAGCTGGAAGCCTGGGAGGGGTCTCAACTCTCACTCATGTTCTTCTCTCCTACCTACCTGATGGTTTTTAAGTTCTGTGAGATCCATATTCTAAACATCATTTTACTTCACTCAGCAGCCTTTCTACAGTTCCTCCTACCATGAAAACTCTCTTCTGTTGATTTTGCGTGCTGCAAGTTTCCCTAAGTTTCCCCCTACATCTAAGAATGCCAGGGCATGACCAGATTTTTGGAGCTTGAAGTGTTTTTATTTTGGGGGTCTATCTTTAAAGGAATACAAAATTACAAATAAAAGGCCTTGGATGGAACTCACACAAGGTAGAGAATTATTTGGCAGCAAATCCACCTCGGGCTTTCTTTCTTTTTTCTTTTTTTTTTTTTAATGCCCATCTTCTTTTCCAATGCCATGGGGTGGAATTCCTAAAGAGACATCAAAGCCATTTTCTCTTTAATGCTATATACTCCCCTGGCTTTGAAGATTTTCTTCCCATCTTACATGGCCATGACCGACTGATGATTCCCAAGTCTGTATCTCAAGCTCTGGCCTCTCTGTCTTGTGTTTAGACAGTCATCTCCACTTGGGTATCACAAAGGCACTGCAAACTTCCTGTGGCTTAGGCTGAACCATTATCTTTCCCCTCACCTTCTGGTCCCTTTGTAGGGCTCTCATCTCACTAAATGACATCAGCATCTACCCAGTTCCAAAAGCTGGGCACCTGGGCACCATCCTTAACACCTCATCCTCCCCTATGCTTATATCCAACTTATCTTCAGCCTTGTCACATTTACCTTAAATACTCCTTCTCATCATCTTCATTGTCACCATCCTTGGCCAAGGTATTGTCACATCTTGGCTGGACCACCACAATAGTCTTCTTCCTTTTTTTTTTTTTTCTTTTTCCTTAAAGGTGTTGCGGTTAAAGGCTTAATTTTTTAGTGACATTTTGGGTTCACAGCAAAATTGAGAGGAAGGTACAGGGAGTTCCCATATACCCCCAGTCCTTATACATGCACATCCTCCCCGTTATCAACATCCCCCACCGGAGTGCTACACCTATTATAACTGATAAACCTACAATTGACTCATAATCGCCCAAAGTACATCTTTACATTAGGATTCGTCCTTGCTATGGTACATTCTATGGTTTGAGTGATACATATCCACACTTATAGTATCATACTGGGTATTTTTACTGCCCTAAAAATCTTTTCTGCTCTGCCTATTCATCCCTTCCCTCTCACCTCAACCCTGATCTTTTTACTTTCTCCATAGTTTTGCCCTTTTCAGAATGTCATACAGCTGTAATCATCTAGTATATAGCCCTTCTAGATTGGTTTATTTTTCTTAGTAATATGCATTTAAGTTCTCTCCATATCTTTTTTTTTTTTTGGCTCGATAGCTTATTTTGATTTAGTACTGAATAATATTCCCTTGTCCAGATGTACCACAATTTGTTTATCCATTCACCTACTGAAAGACAATTTAGTTACTTCCAAGTTTTGGCAATTATGAGTAAAGCTGCTATAGATATTGGCGGACTGGTTTTTGTGTGGACATATGAATTCACCTCCTTTAGGTAGATACTAAGGCAGATACTTACATAGATACTTACCTCCTAGGTAGACAGTATCTCTTAGGTGGTAAGTAAGGCCAGGAGTACAATTGCTGAATCATGTGGTAAGAATGTGTTTAGTTTTATAACTAACTACCAAACTGTCTTCCAAAGTGGCTGCACCATTTTGCATTCCCACCAGCAATGAATGAGTTCTTGTTGTTCCACATCCTCTCCAGCCTTTGGTGTGGTCAGTCCTAATAATCTCCTAATTGGTCTTCCTACCAATATTATCTGACAGCCTCCCCTACTCATTCTCTTCTCTACATTGCTGTCAGACCATCTTTCCAAAAGGCATATCTGATCACCTCATCCCCTGCTTAGGACCCTCCAAAGCCTCCTATCATTCTTAAGACAAGGATCAAATCCTTAACTAGGCCTTTAAGGTCCTGCCTGTTGGGACTTGCCTGGCTCTCAACTGCCCTCTTACCATGCTGCCTCTGCTCTCCAGCCACACCACCTCCTCTCTGTCCCTTCTGCAGCCCAGCCTTTGCCTGGAAATCTCTTCCTCACGTGCCTCACTCCTGAGTCCTTGGTCTAGGTCGGGTTCCTTTATTATTCACTTTTTTTTTTTTAAGACGGAGTCTTGCTCGGTCTTCCAGGTTGGAGTGCAGTGGTGCGATCTCGGCTCACTGCAACCTCTGCCTCCTGGGTTCAGAGCGATTCTCCTGCCTCAGCCTCCCACCACCACGCTTGGATAATTTTTTGTATTTTTGTATTACTATTACTATTATTATTATTATTATTATTATTATTATTTTGTTTTTGAGACGGAGTGTTGCTCTGTCTCCCAGGCTGGAGTGCAATGGCGCAATCTCGGCTCACTGCAAGCTCCGCCTCCCGGGTTCACGCCATTCTTCCTCAGTCTCCCGAGTAGCTAGGACTACTGGCACCCGCCGCCATGCCCGGCTGATTTTTTGTATTTTTTTTTTTTTAAGTAGAGACGGGGTTTCACCGTGTTAGCCAGAATGGTCTCGATCTCCTGACTTCGTGATCCGTCCACCTCGGCCTCCCAAAGTGCTGGGATTAAGGCGTGAGCCACCGCGCCCGGCCCTGTATTTTGTTTTTAGTAGAGACGGGGTTTCACTGTGTTAGCCAAGATGGTCTCAATCGCCTGAGCTCGTGATCCGCCTGTCTCAGCCTCCCAAAGTGCTAGGATTACAAGCGTGAGCCATCGCGCCCGGCCTATTCACTCATAAAGAACCTTATTTCCCTCCTAAGTCTATTTATCCCTATTCAGTATGACACATTCGCTGGTGTCATTGATTTAATGGGTTAATGTCTGGCTCTCAACTTGATTCTGAGTTTCTACATAGGCTTGAACCATGCATACGTGTCTGTGCTTGCTTTTTCATGTATCTGGACTTTGCTTATAGCAAGTCCTCAATAAATATTTGTTAAAGAGTAAATGGACCCTTAGGAAATGGATTAATAAAAAAAAAATCTATAGAACTATGCAAGCCTAGCCTCTAAGTCTTGGGTCAGAGAATCATTTACTTTGAGTGAATGAGATTCAAGGACACTATAAATTGCAGAGGCATTTGCCCTGTTAGACCAGGAAAGGTATCTCTCTCCAAAGATTTTGACTTGCCAATTCCCAATACCCTATGTTGAAAGCCAGCTGGCTGCCCACACTTTTGAAAACACAGTGAGACATTAACCCTCAAAGGCAAAGTCCAAGGGCACAATTTTGCTGCAAGGGCTGCCTGCCTGACTGCAGCTTTAATAGCTGATTCTCCAAATATGCACTGACGTCAGTGAGAGTTCCCTGTGCTCAGCGTGTCTGACTCAGCCTCCACAGTGCAATTTGGAGGGAAGAGTTTGACCTGAAGACGTTTCGCCTGCTACCTGTTTTAGGGTTTAAAGTGAAATGCAGCCTTTATGCCACCCCTGCAGCCTGCCCTGGTATGATTTAACTTTCATTTGCTAGTGCATTTATATTTCCTTGTATTTTACTATTTAAGAACTATTAGATAAAAATCAGAATGCAGAGCTGAGGCTAGATCAGCTGAAAAATCAAGCTGAATCAAGTTCTTTTTGGTTTTTAGCCAAAGTTAAAGACACAAAGAGAAATGTTTTGTTACTTTGGGATACAACAGAAGCTGGAGGATTTAGTGTTTTATGGTTTTTTTTTTTGGTGTGTGTTTGTTATTAAAAATCCTTTCTAACTTTAAAAATAAAATGTGGGGCTGGATGTGGTTGCTCGTGCCTCTAATGCCAGCACTTTGACAGGCTGAGGTGGGAGGATCACTTGAAGCCAGGAGTTTGAGACCAGCCTGGGCAATGTAGCAAGACCCTGTCGCTACTAAAAAATAATGTGTTAGTCTACAAGACGCCAGAAAATTCTCACCAAGTTAACTAATCAGAGCATCATATAATGCAAAAACATGTTAATGGAAAAGATTTTCCTGCCAAGTGTTCATAAAAAGCAGTCACATGAAATCCAAAGTTTCACAGGGGATTCCTTAAATGTGATATAGCAAGATATTATGATGTTGTCAGAAATGTTTGCAAAAGCCTCAAAATTAATTTTTCCCTTCTTAGTGCTCTCAAAGTGCCTTAGACACACCTCACTATAGTGCTTATTGGGACATGACAATAAATTGTTGAGAGTCTCTGCTGAGATTGTGAGCCTTTGAGGACAGAGCACATTTTTTAGCTATCTGAGGTAGGTCTAGCTTTTGTTATGGTGTGTGGCACATGGTAGGTGCAAAGAGAAAGGGAGCTGGAATCAGAGCTCTGTACTCCAATCCTGCCCTCATATTTTCAAACTGTGGAACTATGGCAAATGCTTAACCTCTGCAAGTTCCATTATTCTGTAAATTGAGGAATCACACTTCCTCACAGGGCTGCTGAGGGAGTGAAATGAGCTATATGTCCTGTCTGTAGTAGGTACTAATAAATGTGATTGTCAAGGAATTAAGAACTAGACCCTGAGATTGCATCCAGGTTCTACCTTTTGCTAGCTGTGTGACCTTGGGCAAGTCACCTAACCTCTCTGAGCCTTAGTTTCTTATCTATATAATAGCAACAATAACATCTACATTGCAGAGTTTTGGTGAGAAACAGATTTTAAACTTCTCTATTTAATGCATCCAAACCAAAGTCTAGTACTAACCTTTTGTTTTTTCAAGTAAGAATGTTCCAAAAAAGAAACTATCATCTACTATCACCATAAAAGAAAGAGTATTTAACACCAAAAAGTGAGAAAGATAAATTTCTTTAAACGGAAATATCTTTAAAAAGAAAAATACTTTCCAATGTCCTTATTTTAGGCTGGTGAAAACTTTAGTCTTACACCAGCACCATCTGTGTCCAGACTTTTGAATCCATTAATAATGAAGATGAAATGAGATAATATGTATAAATAGCTGAGTGTAGAGCCTGGCACACAGAAAACACTAAATAAATATTAACTGCTACTATTTAATATTATTTTGTCATGATTGCATTGGTTAATTTTATGTGTCAACTTGTCTGGGCTAAGGGATGCCCAGATAGCTGGTAAAACATTATTTCTGAGTGTGTCTGATATGGTGTTGCTGGAAGAGAATAGTATTTTAATTAGTAGACTGAGTAAAGAAGATCGACCTTACCAACACAGAAGGGCATTCTCCAATCTGTTGAGAGCCTAAAGAGAACGTAAAAGTGGAGGAAGGACAGATTTCTTTTCTCTGCTTAGGTTGGGACATCCATCTTCTCCTGCCCTGGACATTGGCACTTCTGGTTCTCTGGCCTTTGGACTGGAATTGACACCATTACCGCCTCCATCTCAGAACAAAGGCTGAAGTGCCAATGTACACTAAATTACACTGGCTTTCTTGGTTCTCCAGCTTACAGATGGCGGACTGTGGGACTTCTCAGCCTCCATAATCACATAAGTCAATGCCTATAAATTTCCTATATATGTCCTATCATAGGATAGCTCTATATATATCCTGTTGATTCTGTTTCTCTGGAGAATCCTAAATAATACAATCATCATAAGTTAAAATACTTAAATTTTCTATTAAAAAGTTTGATAAATGAATGAATGAAATGCCTGTTATATTTGTACTCAGTAGAGCTAAAGAATGAAAAGTAACAATATGAATAACTGATCAGAGATTTTCGGAATAAAAATGTTACTGGCACATATTCGAAACCAAATACAAGTGTTCACTGAGAGCTTCCTATATTTCAGGTGCGCCTCTTAGTATTTTACATGAATAATTTTATTTGTGCTTCATGAAAACTCCATTTATCCCATTTCTACCGATGAGGCAACTGAAGCACAGAAAGGTTATATAACTTGCTCCAGGTTACCCATTAGTAAGTGTTGTGGCTAGGATTCCAACCCACGCAATCAGACTCTATCACTTGAACTTAAATACCATGATCTTCTGTCTCCTTATAGTAAAGATAAAATATATAATAAATTCTAATTTAAATGAATATATTATGTAAATAGAAAGAAGAAACAATAGACAATTGACAGGAAGGGCAATGGGTTGCATGATTGAACTAGATTTGGGGCAACCTTAGAAAGGAGTCCCATAATCATATTCATTTTTATGTAAAAATGTCATGCTTTAGAAATGCATCAGCATTTGAGGGCAGTTGAAGAATCTGATGTGTCAAGGGTTGAGCACCTTGGTACCTCACCTTTATTTTCTGCTGGGCTTCTCTGGTTTGGGTTTCTGAAGTGCGACATTCTTTTGGTAGTTTGGAAAGGGTGGGTGAGGGATGGGACTGAGGGGAAGAATGATGGTTTGGCTCTGAGCCTTGTTTTCAGCATTTTAAATTCATGGTATTGCAAAGATAGCAAGGGAAAACTGCTGGGAGGGCACCATATTCCAGCTGGAGTGGGGGTGAGAGGCCAGGCGGGCAGCATTAGCCTGCCTGACACTAACTCACTTGGGTGGAGCCTAGGCTAATGAATCACTCGCTCCGTAAAGCAGCCACTGCTTCCTTACTCTGCACCAGCTCCATGGTGCAGGCCAAAATCCAGCTCTGGCAATGAGCCTGTGCAGAATATAGTGAAATAAGAGAAATAAGAGGTTACATTTTCCCAAGAGCTTCGCTGCCAAACGTGGCAAGTGCCCAGCTGAAATTGGCAGTAGTGGCCACCCAAACCTCCCTCCAGCCAAAAGCAGAGAAGCTGGCTTCTTGGAGATGGTTCAGCCACAGCCATGCCCTGGATCATCCCCAAGCCAACACTTCACAGCAGGGTCCCAGGCGGACCTGCCAAGGTCCCGGTGTCGCAGCAGGGGCTGCCAATGTGAGTTGCTCTTTTGAAGACCGGAGACCTCTCTGCTGGGTTGAGACTAAGCCTCCAAGACTCACAGGATGCCAAATCACACAGACCTTCCGTCATCTCATTATTAATCTTGTTTCTTATTAACCCAAACAAATATTTTGGCCTTGACTCCAGTGTTATTCAGGACAAAAATGATATCCTTTTTGGGGTTCAAGTTGATAGCACTTTCTTTGTTTCAGGTGCTGCTCCTAAGCTCTTTTTGTCAATTTTCTGTCTCTCACAACCACCCTTTGCAGGAAAGGACATGAAAGTGAAGAGAGATGAAGTAACTCACTGAAGAGCACACACATTGACAGCCCAGGTTAACTCTAAAGTGTAAGAGCTTTCACCACATATTGGTACCTCTGTCTTGTGAGGGTTGTGGAAAGAATTATTATTTAAGTGTTCATGTCTCTATTTTCTTCCCAAATGGTTTCTATTAGGTTGGTGCAGAAGTAATGGTTTTGCCATTACTTTCAATGGTAAAAACCACAATTACTTCTGCACCAACCCAATAGCTTCTTGAGGGAAAGGACCTAGCTCTAAAATAAATTAATGCCAGCCTGGCTCTAAAATAAATAAATCAATAAATAGAGTCACCCAGGCTGGAGTGCAGTGGTGTGGGATCGTTTCTACTGCAGTGTTTCCATAGTATTCATTCATGCATTTGGGAAATATTTATTGAGCGCTTATTATGTGCCAGGGACTATGCCAAGCATTTGCCAATAAAAAGACAAAAAAATTACTGGGCCTGCTCTTTGGGAGCTAATAATCCTATGAGGGTAATACCTAGGGAAGTCAATGAGTTATTACAAAATAACAAGGTCGACCCTGCATTGGGTATGTCATTCTAGCAGTTCTTACCAGTTATTTATAGACTATTCACATATTTTATGTATTTATCTTGTATTTTATTCTAAATGCAATTAACAAATGTATGCTCATAAAAAGTAGTTAAATTAATCTAATGGTGGTGTGACACAATAAGAAATATGTATTTGGTCTTTGCCCAGGGTTTCTGACACGCAGATCCTATATCCCTTGGAACCTCTGGAGTGATAGGAACATCTCTTGTTCTAATGAGAGAAGTCTTGGTGGGCTCCTGGATGGGGGTAGTCACCAGAAAGACCAAACCTTGATAGGCAGCATGAAACTTTCAGTCCCAAACCCTAACCTTGGGGAAGGGGAGAGAGGTTGGAGACTGAGTTAATCACCCCATATGATGAAACCTCCGTAAAAACTCCTACACTTTGGGATTTGGAGAGCTTCCACATTGGTGAGCATGTTGAGGTGCTGGGAGGGTTGTGCTCCTTGAGAGGGTATGGAAACTCTATGTGCTACCCTTCCTTTTTTGCTCCTCTGCATCTCCTATTTGGCTGCTTCTGAGTGGTTCCTTTATAATAAACTGATAAAAGTAAATAAGATGCCTTCCTGAGTTCTGTGAGCCATCCTAGCAAATTATCAAACCTGAGGAGGGGTCATGGGAACTCCAGATTTATAGCCAGTCAGTCAGAAGTACAGGTGCCGTGGGACCTGTGACTGGTGTCTGCAGTGCGGGTAGTACTGTGAGACTGAGCCTCTACCTTGTGGGATCTGACACTAACTCTGAGCAGTGTTGGAATTTAGTTGAATCATAGGATGCTCAGTTGCTGCTCAGAAAATTAGAGAATTGGCCACTGGAAGTGGAAAACACCACAGTGGGCTTCTTGAGAGAGCATCATAAATATGTTCATAACTAAACATGGGCATCAGAAAATACAAACATCTTCTGTCAAAATTGTGAAAATTGTGTAGCAGACACAAAAACACACAGATTTCATCTTTATGAACTGTATCAAGGACAAAATAGAAGACGGGTGTTTAAACATTTTGTATTGTTAAGTTCCAGTCCAGATTATTACAAAGGCCTCCTAACTATCTCCCCTTTTCTTCTGTATCCTGCTCTAATCCTCCTGTATGGAGCAGCCAGGGGGTCTTTTAAAACAATAAATCAGACCATGTCCCTTACCAGCTAAAAGCCCATTAATAACTTGGAATTGTTGTTAGACTAAAACCCACATTTCTTATCATGGGCTGCAGTGATCTACATGATCTATCTCCCATCTGTCCAAACTGATATGATGATGACGATGATGATCATGATGATGAAAAATAGACTGCATTTACTGAGCATCCACTAAGCACTTTATATGCTTTCTCTCATTTAATCTTTTTTAAAAAAATACCAACCAGCATTAGCTAGAATCTCATTTAATCTTTATGACAACCTTATCTCTCCTCCTCTCTAAATTATATGGCAGCCGTACTTTCCAAATGCTCGCAGAGCTCTTTCCCACTCCCTGGACCTTTGTACTCACTGTCCCCTTGGCCTTGGACATGCTAGTTTCAGCTCTTCTCACAGTTGGCTTGTGTGTACCCACCAGGTGTCAGCTCAAACATCATTTTGGAGAGGCTGCCCTTGACTACCCAATCTAAGCAGCTTTCTCCAATTATGATGTCCTTTTCTGCTGATGGGTTCTTGCTGATAATTTACTGGAGCCTTTCACGGTCATGTTTATATCTTTTATTATGCTTGTCTATTTCCCCATCTGGAATGTTTTGTAAGCTCTGTGATGGCATCTTCCTCACCACTGTCTTGTTTACTACACCAGTGCGTGGTATGTGCAAGGAACAGAGGCTCAATATGTATTTGGCAAATGAGTTGATAAATGTATCTTATGAATATTAAGTAATAAATGCTAAAAAAAAACCCACCCCATACGTTTCTTCTAAGTAATGATCATCTACTCAGGTCAGTATTTTATAATTTAGAAGGCCTGAATTTTTTTCTTTTTCTTTTTCTTTTTTCTTTTTTTTTGAGACGGAGTTTCACTCTTGTTGCCCAGGCTGGAGTGCAGTGGCGCGATCTCGGCTCACCACAACTTTTGCCTCCTGGGTTCAAGCGATTCTCCTGCCTCAGCCTTCAGAATAGCTGGAATTACAGGTGTGCACCACCACGCCCGGCTAATTTTGTATTTTTAGGAGACACGGGGTTTCTCCATGTTGGTCAGGCTGGTCTTGAACTCCCGACCTCAGGTGATCCACCTACCTTAGCCTCCCAAAGTTCTGGGATTATAGGCATGAGCCACCATGCCCGGCAGGCCTGGATTTTATATGGTCACTAGATGTGTGTGTATTTGTTGGCTAAGTGATCATAAGAAAAGCAGGTCCAGGTGAACCTTAAGGAAACGTACCTAGGTGTTTTAGATGTGGCTGGATGATAAGGTGAATACTAGCACACTGTTAGAATAGAGAGCTATGGGAGGAAGGAGTGATGAGCTGTCTGGGGCTGTCAGAAAGACTGATGATAATTCAGGCAGCAGATGAATCCCCTTTGGGTGGGAAGTGGCTTGGTGTGGGCTGGAGCTTGGGATAGATGGGATAAGGATGGAGGGATGAGGAGTGGCAGAAGATGAGGCTGAAGGTTAGACTGCAAATAATGGAGAAAGGTGGTGAGTGTGTACTAAGGAAGACAGATTTTGTGCTGGAAGCAATGGCCTTAGAAATGGGGAGAGGCTTAAATCATGATTAGGTTAATGTCATATAGAAGAGGGGACTTGGATGGAGAAAGCAAACACTGCAGGCAAGACAGAAGGCACTCCCTTCACTAAGGTACTGGGGTCAGAATGAAGAGGATGCCGTGCACTGAGCTAATGCTCAGCATGTTTGTTCAATAATATCAGATATTTAAAATATGCACATTTAAATATACAACACATTATACAAACTGGTTAAAGGAAAATTGATGTAGGTGATAGGATAGAGAGAGATAATCCCTTCTTAAACCCCAGCATGATTAATGCATAGACAAGCATCGCATATCCTTAAACGAAGGATTGTAGATGCAATTTTTAGGTATGTCACAGGATTGAGAACTAAAAGGAGCTTCAGAGGAGACCTGTGGCCTCATTCTTTATTTTCACCTGCTTGGCCTTGCTCTTTCCATCAGGGGCTTCTTCAAGGTTCCCGACGCTGCCACATCTCCAGTTGTTTCCTCCTGCTGGTCTCTCAGTTCTTCGTTTTTCTCTCCCATCCCTGCTGTGTGAAATCATTTTTCTTGGCCAAGATACAGAGTCATGTCCAGTGCCTTCCTTAACTTTGTTCAGGTAAAATTAATTGCTGTGCTGTATGCACCTGTGTTACTCACAGTAAGGTCTATTATGTAAAACACATAAAGCACACTCACGTGATGATTAATGGTGTGGACTTTATAAAGCCAGGCTGCCGAGGTTTGTTTTTGACCAGGTTTGTTTTGGGCTAAGTCACTGAACTGCTCTGCGCTTTAGTTTCCTCATCTGTAAAATGAAGATAATAATGGTATTTATACTAATAGTGTCTTAGCCTGATCTCTAGCTGCTACAACAAAATATTATAGACTGGTGGCTTATAAACAACATAAATTTATTTCTCACAGTTCTGAAGGCTGGAAAATCCAAGATCGAAGTGCCAGCAGATTTGATGTTTGGTGAGGAGTTGCTTCCTCATAGATAGTCATCTTCTCACTTTTGCCTTCTCAAAAGCAGAAGGGGTAAGGGTCTCTCCTGGGCCTCTTTTATAAGAGCACTAATTCCACTCATGAGCCATCATGACCTGATCATCTTCCCAAAGCCGCATCTCCTAAAGCCATAAGCTTGCCGGGTAGGATTTCCACATATGACTCTGCGGGTGGGAGATACAAACTGTCAAATCATAGGAAATACTGTTTATTTCAGAGGGTTGTTAGAAGGACCTAATGAGCTAATACATGGAAAATTGAAGAACAATGTCTGGTACACAATAATTATTCAGTTTGTTCGCTGCTTTCTTGCTAGACTATGGGTTTCTGAGAATGGGGATGCAGGTCTTATTGATCCTGTAACTCTACAGCCTGGCCTGGCCCACCGTGGTCCTCAGGGATTGCTGCTGAATGAATGGATTGCATAGATGAGGAAACTGAGGAATATGTTCAGGGCCCCCCACTGGAGCATGCACCAAGGGCCTTGTGACCCCCAGGGCTGTGTTCCTGGGTCAGCTATTGAATTGTTCACCGCTGAATGTGGAGTAAGAAATTTCTGCTTATGTGCCTTTAGCAAGGAAAACTCGGTGCATTTAAACTCACTTTTTATGTTGCCTTTTATGACACCTAGGAGAGGGACATTTACGGTTACAGAACATTAAAAGAAAAATGAATGCAAGTGTAAACTTCTGAAATTACTGTGATTTAGGGAATGATAGGTGTTATTTTTTCACAGGTTTTATATAATGTGAGTGCATGCTATGGAATTATCTGAACAAAGGTTGTAAATAAACCTGAAGAGTACTCATTTTTAAGATACGATATGATAGAAGTATATGCTTATCTTTCAAATATTTGTAAAATGTGTGATATTTCTAACAGTTTAAACATGAGATATTTCGAGACAATATTTATTGCCTAAGACTTTGTGAAACAGAGGCATAGCCATGTTTTAGGGCCCTGATTTAAAACCCCTACTTCCCCAAGCATGCACAGTAGGAAGAGGCAGGAAGGCAAGGGAGGGTCCAGTTTCTTGCCTCAGAATTAAGACCTTTTTGTCCTCTACCTGCAGGTATCTACCCTACCCTGGCTGTGGGTCCAGTTCTGATTTGGGGGGAATCTAAGGAGCCCTGATCTATTGCAAGTTATTGCTGCTGCTGGGCCCACTCTGATCTGAGTTCCAACTCCAGTTAAGAGAACCAATTTTTTATTGCTTGCCAATTGTCCTCTCTATGTCAGGCTTTTACATGCTTCATTTCATTTAACCCTCCTAATAATTTAACATGTGATGAAACAGATGCCCAGAGAGGGTAAGTGATTTGACCAAGCCACCCTGCAATGTAAATGGGGAACCAGGATTTTAAAACCTTGGTGTATGATGAAAACAACCCAAATGCTGATCAGCTGATGAATGGATAAACAGAATGTGATATATCCATACAATGGAATATTATGCAGCCATTAAAGAAATAAAGTAATGATACATGCTATGTATTAGTCATGATTCTCACAAAAAAAGAACCAATAGGATATATGTATGAGTGTATGTATATATGTGTGTATGCACACACACACACACACACACACAGATTTATTATAAAGAATTGGAGGCCGAGAATGGTGGCTCATGCCTGTAATCTCAGCACTTTGGGAAGCCAAAGTGGGTGGATCACTTGAGGTCACGAGTTTGACACCAGCCTGGCCAATATGGTGAAACCTCGTCTCTACAAAAAAAAAAATACAAAAATTAGCCAGGTGTAGTGATGGACACCTATAATCCCAGCTACTCAGGAGGCTGAGGCAGGAGAATCACTTGAACCCAGAAGGCAGAGGTGGCAGTGAGCCAAGATTGTGCCACTGCACTCCAGCCTGGGCAACAGAGCCAGACCCTGTCTCAAGAAAAAAAAAAAAGAATTGGCTCATGCAATTATGGAGGCTGAGAAGTCCCAAGATCTTTGGTTGACAAGCTGGAGACCCAGGAAAGTCTATGGTATAGTTTCAGTCCTAATCCAAAGGCCTGAGAACCAGGAGAGTCAATGGTGTAAGGTCTATTCTGAGTCCAAGTCAAAAGGCAGAAGACCAATGTCTCAGTGGAAGACATTCATGCAGAGAGAACAAATCCTTTCTCACACAGCCTTTTTGTTCTATTCAAGCCTTTAATTGATTGCATGGGGCCCACCCACACTGGGGAGGGCAATCTGCTTTCTCAGGCCACCAATTCAGATGTTAATGTCATCCAGAGACACCCTCACAGACACACCCAGAATGACGTTTAACCAAATACTTGGCACTCCGTGACCCAGTCAAACTGGCACATAAAATTGACCATCATATGCTATCACATGGATAAATCTCAGAAACATGCCATGAGAAAGATGCTAGACACAAAAGGTCACATATTATATGATTCTATTTATATAAAATATCCAGGATAGGCAAATCCATAGAAACAGTGAGCAGACAAGTGGTTGCCAGGGACTGGTGGGGAGTGGGGAATGGAGAGCAACTGCTTAATGAGTGTGGAATTTGCTTTTGCGGTGGTGAAAATGTTCTGGACTTGGATAGTGGTGACAGTTGCATAGCACTGTGAGTGTACTTAACGCCACTGAATTGTACACTTTATATTGGTTAAAATGGTACATTTTATGTTACACATATTTTACCACAATAAAAACAGACAAATGGAAACCTATTACAGTTATCTTTGAAGACCTTGATTTTTCTCATAAAACAGGATGTGCTTCTGCCTTGTTTCTGATTCTCAGTTCCTACCTGAGAACTGGATCTCTCAGTGGAGAAACCGTTCAGCCCCTTGGTCCCTCGGCTGCAGGGTTGCTGCTTTTTCAGAGCACTCCTCCACTTCCTTTCCCTTCTGGCTTGGAGCTCTGATCTGCAGGAAGAACCTGCAGTGAACGCCACTCATCTCCACTTCCTGACCACTTGCAGCTCCTGGCTGCTGCTGCTTCATCTCTCATGTGGCTCTGCCCATACCAGTGTGAACTCTAAACTCTCACCTTTCGCTTGGCATTGTAGTGGCTGGATTTCCATGGCCTGGTGCTGGGCCTCACCTGGGCTTGCCTCAACTCAGGGAGCTGGTCAGACTGACCTTTGTCAACACATTCACATCTACTTCCCCGCTCACCTTCAGAGTTTTCCTTCTGTAGACAGTTTCTTACTATCCTACCCTACTCCTGACTTATCTGTCCTGCCATTCTGACTCCCTGGACCTGTCAAACTGTCCACAGGGTGACAATTAGTCCTCTGCAGAAGTGGAATGAAGGCTACTCATTCAGGCCTTCCTTGCCCTTCTCCAGTTGGGTGACTCTTTGCAGAAAACATGTGGGCATTACCCATCCAACCCCTAATTAATCTTCCCAGCATGTGCTTAGATTATGTTCACTCTCGGTCTCAAAAAACTTTACTGGCAACTGTAGTGACATTTTCTATGCTTTACTGCTGCTCAGCATCTTCTGAAAGCCTTTCTACATTTAGGGAAATGTGCAATTAGGAGTCCTGCCTTCCCGAGGCAGATGCTACAAACTCTTACCCAGTCTTCCTTGCAGCTGGAGCACAGGCCCAGGAGCCTTGCTGTGCCCATAGACTGCTCTTGGTAGACTTAGGTTCAGAGGAGAGCACCACCAGGAAGCCACATGGAGTGGGACTCATTTTCTGGAAGTAGAGATGAGGTCTTGTGTCTAGTGCCTGGTGGCAGTAAATGTGGGACTCCATGGAATTAGCACAGAGGGTGGATTAGCTGCTCGGGTTTCAAGTTTTGTTCTTTGCCCTCCCAGAGTTTCTGTAAGTTACCCAGTATCTCAATATTTTTATTCAAATTACCCCCATTTTTCAGCTTTATTGAGGTATAATTGACAATTAGCAATAGTGTATATTCTAGATACACAACATGATGTTTTGATATATGTATACATTGTGACATGATTACCACAATCAGGCTAGTTAACCCATCTGTCACATCACATAGTTACCTTTTTTTGGTGATGAGATTACTTAAGATCTACTCTTTTAGCAAATTGCAAGTACATAGTACATTATTATTAACTATAGTCACTATGCTGTATGTTGGGTCTGCAGAATTTATTCTTCATACAAGTACAAGTCTGTAACGTCTTTTAATTAATTTATTTTCTATTTAAACTCCCTGGAAGGGTTGTTTGTAACTCAGAAGTCTTAAAGTGCACAGTCCCTTTGTCTTCTGATTAAGAGCAAATGTCTTCCCTTGCAGTTGAGGCTTTGCCTGTTGTGATGTCAGTTGTTTCTCCAGGCTTTGCACTTTTCATGTCTCTATGATATAGTCAGAGGGTGTAGCTCCATTTCTCCTGATCAAAGGGGGGTCCCCATGTCTATGCCGTGGTTCCTGTTGTCTACTCCACTTGGAACACACTCCCAGCTACACCTTTGTCCTAATATTCTACTCTTCCAGTGTTTCTTTAGAGAAACGCTCTAAATTTTTTTTACAACACATCATACTTAAGCTCCCCCACCATAAAAATGTGTCCGCTTTTTCTGGAGGGCAGAGGCTCTGTCTTAGTCGTCCCTCAGAATTCAGCCATGTCTGACCAGGGAACTCACCAGCTGGCTTAACAAAATAGCACTTTGTGATCCCTCAGGGTGGGCACTTGTGAAAGGATCCCTGTAATGGCCTGACACTTGTTACTCCAACATCACTTTCTTCTTGGGAATGTCTTCAATTGCTGCTTCCACTGCTGTCATGGCCTTAGGTGGCATCAAAGTCCTTACCTTTCTAGCCTAAGGATGGGCCAATTCTCTTCTTTAGTATCTTTCAGAACAGCTGTGCTTAAGTTAAAGCTTTGTGCTAATAGCATAGAATGATTCATAAAACTCTTGGGTGAATAAATGGTTGTTCTCATCACCTGCACCTGCCCATCCTTGGGTGCCCCTCCAGATCTGTATTGCAGGAAGTCAGGGATCCCAAACGGGGAGACCGGCTGGAGCTGCGGCAGAGGAATATAAATTGTGAAGATTTCATGGACATTTATCACTTCCCAAATAATACTCTTGTAATTTCTTATGCCTGTCTTACTTTAATCTCTTAATCCTGTTATCTTCATAAGCTGAGGATGTACATCACCTCAGGACCCTATGATAATTGTGTTAACTGTACAAATTGATTGTAAAACATGTGTGCTTGAACAATATGAAATCAGTGCACCTCAAAAAAGGACAGAATAACAGCAATTTTAGGGAAGAAGAGAAGACAACCATAAGGTCTGACTGCCTGTGGGGTTGGGCAAAAAGAGCCATATTTTTCTTCTTGCAGAGAGCCTCTAAATGAACATGCAAGTGGGGAAGATATCGCTACGTTCTTTTCCTAGCAAGGAATATTGATATTAATACCCTGGGAAAAGAATTGCATTCCTAGGGGGAGGTCTATAAACGGCCACTCTGGGAATGTCTGTCCTATGCGGTTGAGATAAGGACTGAGATATGCCCTGGTCTCTTGCAGTACCCTCAGGTTTACTAGGATTGGGAAACTCCAGCCTGGTAAATTTTTGATCAGACTGGTTCTCTGCTCTCGAGCCCTGTTTTCTGTTAAGATGTTTATCAAGACAATACGTGCACCGCTGAACGTAGACCCTTATTGGGAGTTTCTGATTTTTCCCTGGTCCTGTTTGCTCAGAAGCATGTGATCTTTGTTCTCCTTTTTACCCTTTGAAGCATGTGATCTTTGTGACCTACTCCCTGTTCTTACACTTCCTTTTCTTTTGAAATCCTTAATAAAAACCTGCTGGTTTTGTGGCTCAGGTGAGCATCACGGTCCTACCGATATGTGATGTCACCCCTGGAGGCCCAGCTGTAAAATTCCTCTCTTTGTGCTCTTTCTCCTTATTTCTCAGACCAGCTGACACTTATGGAAAATAGAAAGAACCTACGTTGAAATATTGGTGGCAGTTTCCCCCAGTAATCTGTCTCCCTATTCAGCTTCAAATGGCAAGAGTCAGCTTTCATCCCCCCCACCAGGTAAGACATTCAAACCTTGCTAAACTAGTAGGAGCTTGAGCTCATGAGAGCCATATCAGAGAAAGGAAGACATTCTTCCTTTTACCTGGTCTAAGTCCTGTCTTCTAATCCCTCACTTCTTCCAAGTTCCACTGTTTCTCAGGACTGCCAACACTGGAAGTGCCCATTACTGTATATGTGACCAAATCTTCTGAACACAAGGATGTGGCTTTATTTTATTCCAAGACTCAAATGAGATAGATCCATTACAGCACAACTCAATTCAACATCTATGTAAGAGACATATATGCACACAGCAGAGATATATAGGCAGTACACAGTAGATGTATGGAGAATTGAATTAACCCGAACACATCCTTCAATGTTTATAGTTATAGGAATTTCAACTCTATGCACAAATATTGTACCTTTAAAATATTTTTATAAAGTAACCTAATTTATCCTATCTCATTGGGCTAGTAGCTGGGGAAGGGCTACTTAACCTAAGTCATTCTTGGACTTTCTCTGCCTCCTCCAACCCTAGAATTTAGATCACAGTTTCAGGGTCATTC